CATGTCATCAACATATTACACTAGTAGCGTAATAATAGAAATTTTACACCCATTAGAGGGATTCAGGGGAATAAAAAGAGCAAGAACCTGTCTCACACAGATATTTCCCTGCTTATGCAAAATATGCATGAACTTAAATTAAAAAAGAAAACTAAAAGTAGTATCTTGTTCTTTTTTCTTATTTCACTTCGTAATTTTTTAAATGCTAAAAGCAGTATCTGTTTTCTTATTCTGCTTCATATTTTTATAGAACATAGAGCTAGAATTAAAAGATTTACACTTGATTTCTCTTTTGTATATGATAAATTAGATTTGACCAGATTTTATTTCTGTCACAGAAGTCACGTCTACAGGGCTTACCCTGATAACCATTTGTAGCTAAACTCCTTATCAATAGATTGAACAGCTAGGCCTCCAATCTGCCAAATAAGACCACAAACCAATGGGGTGAAATTATCTAAGACCATTTAACAACCAGACCAGGGATTTCAATTCACAGTTCAGGGTTCAAGCAGTGTTAACAGATGGGAGAAAAATAATCAACTGATTTTGGTGCCTGAACCATCCTACTAAAAGTGTTTTAGGAACTGAACTGGTTTAATTCTATAAAATTTCACATAACATAAAGCTATAGTCCAATCTTCAAAAGGCCTGGCACACAGCAGGTACTCAAAAAAATGTACTGGATGACGGTGTTTCAACAAAGGAGAAACAGGCTGTACACCTGAAACTAACACAACATTGTAAATCAACTATACCCCAATACAAATGTAAAAAACAAAACAAAAACAAACAAACAAAAACAAAGGAGAAACAGCCCATCACCCTATAATCAATGCCTGCGGGAGCATCCTTCTAAGTCAGACAAAAGCTCTGCTTGATGGACCACGACTCAGATGATAGAAATATTATATGACTCCCACTGTAATCCAGAACCGCCCAATGAATCAAAAGCTCTTCACTTCATTTTGTAAATGGGCCTACTCTTCTGGTTAAAGAGTATAATGTCAGTAGTTATCGTATTTTGGTGAATATATTCTTAGTCATATTCCCTGTTATCTTTATTAAACTTTGATCCTAACACTACATTCCTCCCTACCCCCAGCTTCTCACCACCATTATCTCTATCCCTCATTTGAATTTTCTTCTTTTATAATCACAATAAATTCCATCATGTTTTGAGTTCACAAAATGGTAAATTTAGGTCCCAATCTTTTGATTGATGATTGATTGATTTACACTTTTTGATAACACACCCTACTGCCTTATCAGGTCTCTTCCTATACAGAACAAGTGAAATCTTATTTATATATAAGCCTAGTAATTCCCAAAACTAATCTGAGTAATGTTTTATTAACAGTTAGTGATCATTTCAAGGCCATGAACTAGACCAAGGTGTTCTTTTCAGTATAACTCAGTCTTTCCCCAACTTTCAAAAAAAGGAAAAAAAAAGAGGAAAGTGAAGAGATAGTGTTTTCTTCCCGTAATTTTTTCTTACACCTGTTTGCTATTGCTCATCTTAGCGAACCAACGTATACGAGCAAATACATTAATCTGGAAATGTGTTTTCTTAGAAATATTCTAAGAATTACTATTTGGAATATTAGAAAGTTAAAGACATAACAAAACAAAAGCCAGTGTCATTTTCCCTGGTCCCACCCCTTTCAAAGTACATGATATGAACTAAGACAAGTTACTAAGTATCTCTGAGCACCAGTTTGCTCTAAAAGAGAATTAATAATACCAAATGCTCAAGGTTAGTGAAAGTATTAGGGATAATATTCAGTGTCTAGAACAATACCTGGGCATACAGAAGGCACTCAGTAAGTTTTCGTTAGATGAATGAATGAGTGAATCAATGAATGAATATAAAATATCTAGCTTAATGCTTGACATTCAGAAGGCACTCAATACACAATTACATTGACTATATCAACACTTCACAGTGTTTTGCAGAGGGCACCCTACCTTCCAGGACCCTACCTTAGGAAACACATCCAGTAGTACCACCACAGTACTTACCTCTATCTACCTTTCACTAGCACTGAACCATGGCTTTGTTTTGGTAATTACCATTGTATGTGTATAGATTATCTCCTCAACTAGATTATGAACACACTGAAGCCAAAGACTGTTGCTTTCTCTGTAGCCTCAACAAATTCATTCACTTCACCCTATTCTAAGTATTCATTATGTGAAGCACTTCCCAATGGAGACTTACACAAAATAGATATCAATAAATATTTGTGGACTGACATAAAACACTGACTTACAGAAAGACTAGTAAATAATAATAAAAAGGTTTTATTATAATACACATGTAATTCTTCTAATCACTACCCAAGTCATTAACTATAAGTCCACTTCTGAGGAAGAAACTGGAGCCACATCCAGGATCACCCAACTTTATACAAGTTCCTCTCAAAAGTCCTTGTTCCTTCCTTCAAACCACCCTGTCTCCTACAAAAGGACTTCTCTTAAAGGCTTTTTTCAATTCGACTTCATAAATCAAACTCCTGGGGTAAGCGTGTAGGGAACTCATCAAGGGCAAAGACCTAGTCTTTCAGTGTTCAGCACTGTAAGAGCTCAATAAAAATGAGTTAACTAGTAGAAACATCGCTAGAGAGATTACTCAGGTTACCCAGCCTTGGGACCCCAAAGGTACCCTTGTCCACACCACATAAAGTAACTTCTTTTGTAAGTTTCCCATCCTATTATAAACAGCTTTTGTTGATATATGTATTTCTTAGAAATAAACTACCAAACAAAACAAACCAGTGGAATTTTTCAAGAACCAACCTTCAATTCCTCAGGGATGAATTAAACAGGACATATATTTTTTCTTTCCTTCACTATTGGGTTTTTGGGTTCTTAGCATATTGATTGGATAATTTACAAGAGAAGTGAGATAAACTAAAACTTTTCAGAGTTTGTCAAGTTCAGTATTATCAAATTGAAAACAATGACAGATAGTACTTGTGGTTTTCTTTTTTCTATCTAGATAACAGTTGATTAGAATTAGAATAAAGCAGCAAAGAGGTCTAGAAAACATGGCGGGGGGGGGGGGGGGGGGAAAGCCCTACAGGTAGCTTCCCCTAAATCCAGTCATTTGCAGTACCCATTTTCTGGCCCCGAGAGTTTAAATTCTTACTACTCCAGTTACCTATTTTCTCATCCTCATTTCCCAGCAGATTCACACAACTAAACTATTAATTACAGCACATGAATTCCCCTCACACCAACCCTTCTACTTTCATCACCCTACCATTTCCACAATTTGGCATCATTTTATATTTAAAAGTATTTATTTCATCTACTCCTACCTAGCAAATGACTAGCTCGGGATAAATAAATATCAATTCGTATTCAACACCATGTTAAAAACATGGTCCCTTCTCTCAAGGAGCCAAAGTTGTAAAAGAGAAACTACTAATTTCCTATAGAAAAGAAATATCCCCCAGAAGTATTGTGACAAGTCCGTATAATATATACACCAAAAACTAATCTAATAATTTTAGCCAGGAATTAAATCACTCTGTTCGGCTCTTAAAAACCTACCTCCTGCCCTTTCCAGAAAACGTGGCTAAGGTGAAATGGTAATATGACAACCATTTCAAACATCTGAATAGCTCTTCATAGCGCTCAAAACCTTATTTTATTTGATCCCTTCAACAAAGAAACCAAGGCAAGCATTGTTGCTCCACTTTTCCAGATGGGGAAATCTAGGCTGAAAGAGTTAAAGTGACTTACACAAAGTGGTACATTTAGTGGCTAAATTGTCTTCTGATTCCTATTCTAGTACTCTCTACACTCACAGTGATTCCCCAAATGAAGAAAAAATAATCACTGTCTTCCACTCAGCACATCTAAACATGAAACTCACCACCCTAGGAAACACATTTCACTCTGCCTGAACTCTACTTCAGTCTGGGTGATCTTCTTGAAGCTGTTCTTGCCCCCTTGTCTCTGCTGCATCACCTACGTGGACATCTATTTATTTCGCTAAATTATACTACTCAAGATGATCCACAAGCAGAAAATGACAATAAATTCCCTTTTAACAATCATTTTTATATTGGTATTTATTCAGTTATGACATCGAGACCACATCTACCCTGGTTATAAGGTGACTCAATAGGGATTATTAGTCCTGCTAATTTATTTTGTTTTCTTTTGTTTTTGCCAAACAAGAATTAGTAACTCCTTTAATACCCAAGACAGAGAAGGAAAATGAAAGGCAGAAAAAGAAAGGGAAAGATCAAAAGAAAGAAGGTATACATAGTAGAAAGCACTACAGTAGCACAAATGTACTTTGATGCTCTACCCAGAGAGGGCCCCCCTTTGCCTGAGAATGACCTTTGTCCTGAAAGTAGGCCCTGGATCATTGGAGACAAACCAGCACCCTCCAAAATTACCAAAGGGATCTTTACTGGACAACAGCTGTATTCCCTGTGGTGATATGCTTAAAAGTTGACAAGTTTATGCTAACACACTGGAAACTCACTATAACCTATGATTCGATATTTGGCACAAGTCAGACCACCATTGGACTTGAGTCACAGAATATAAGTTACTTAAATATCCCCAAAGATCTTGTTGTGAATTTCACCTACAAAATTTTACCAAGTTCCAGAACCTTCCATATCACTGTGTACTTATACAACAGTTATATTAATTCACAATTGCTTTGTCCCACTTTCTCAACTCCAAACAATAAAACTATTTATTTTCAGCAGAAAACAGGTGCAATTGGAGCGTGAATTAAGAATCTAGCAAAAAGCCAGTCCAAAGGTTATCCAGAACAATCTCTTAACTTTTTCTAATGTTTTAATTAGAGCCTCAAGCCCACTCAGTGTCAAGACTTCCATGCATTCAAAGCGGCCCTCACAAAATGATGTTTTTCTGCCAACCTTGTTCCACACTCTCCTCCCTCATCCCCAAATGCAGCTTTTAACATTTGCAAGTATATCAAGGAATTTGTTTCAACATGCAACTCTTACCTAGTTGCAGTGAAGAAATAACTGTCTGATGGTCTTTAAGACTGTCGTCCACCCTCAAGACTTCTTCCGGAGGTCTAGCATTGATTTAAAAGGAGGACAAATAAAATCAAAATATTGTCATAAAAAAAACCCTTCAAACCCGCAACTAATATGTATAAATTTTGAATTGCTGATTTATTGCATAATTTCATACATTACCACTTGATATGTTAAAAAAAAAAAAAACTAGTTCTGGATGAGATGAACTAGATTTTATCATTTATATCATTGCCCTCCCCTAAATTCCCCCATTAAAGTCTCTCCCATTGTATGACAAGCAGATGAAAGTTACAAGGGTCATTTGGTTCAACTTCCATTTCTCTCATTGCTTTTCTTAAAACTAAAGTTACTATGCAGAACACACACTGGCAAAAGAATAGATTCTATGTAAGCAAGTTTTGTCCGTATATCAAATATTTAAGCGTTTAAATCACAAACTATACAAAGCGTTCAGAAATAATGTATTTTGCAGTGAAACAAAATTACACTCTTAGCACTAAAAGGGGCCATTTATTTTATGACTATATATAACTGTATGTTTAAGAAACTAAATACTAGCCTTAAATTATATTTATTAGAGAATAAAATGATCAGCTCACATAAAAGGCACATTTCAACCAAAGGTCTTTCTCATTTTTTCGAAGTTTTAAACACAAATTGCACTTTGCATTTTTATTAACGTTCAAATGAAATTATCCGCTGTGACTCCTGATTAAAAGTAGATCAAATGTGTAGACAACGATAAATATAAAAAACAAACAAATTGCTTCTAATCCAGAGAGTGACCAATCTCAAATCCCAGAATAAAAGCAAAGTGTTTTTTCCCATAGAAGTAATGAAGAGTGGAAGTTGTAGAGTCTGGGTCCTCAGATCTCATTGGCTCTCCAATGTACTAAACTTTCTATTTCTGATCAGCATCCTCTCATACAACATCTGGCTGCTCGCTCGGGTCGTCTAATTACTTCCACGTCTGAACGGACTACGTAGCTAAAAGTAAAGGCCAAAGTTTGCTCTCGGCCTTCCGAACTTAAAAAGATGCGTTTAACCACTAGAGGTCTCCCCTTGGCCAGTTTTGTACGTTCGCTATTTTGCTGCACTTGAAACTTTCCGGAGAAATGCTCTACTAGAGTCAGTGTTTTTCTAAAAACTTGCGCAAAAATCCACGCGACCGAGCTAGCCAGTACAGAGACTCTCGGGCTCCCCAAACCGATAAAGCTATTACAAACAACCCTCTAGGAAAATCAAAATTAATATTCGACGCACTCGCTCCAGCCGCTCCCCCCCCGCCCCATTCTTATTTCTCATCTCAGTTTCCCTGAACTTAAACTCAGAACAATCAAAAATCTATTTTTGTTTCGGTGCACTCTGAAGGATCTCTAACGCATTTTTCTGGCGGTAGACCCGAGGTGGTAGAGGAGCGGGCCGAGGGATGCAGGGAGGGGGAAGGGCCGTGCTCACAGCGCCCGAGGAAGTTGCATAAGGAAAGAGACTCCGTTTTTTGGGTCCCCTCAAAAAATCGGCAGGGAGGGGGAGGAAAAGGAAGCGGGGAGGGGGGAGGTAGGAGGGAAACCGAAGCGACGTTTACCTTCGTCTCCCCGTGTAAGGGTGGGGTAACAGCCACGATCTTCGCGACCCCGGAGGGCGGCTCGTTACCCCCACCTCTCTCCGAGCGCATACGGACAAACAGATACCCCCACCCCTCCGCGGGGAAGGCGGGGAGGAAAGTGCCCGCTTTTAAACTTTCTCTCACGGTCGCGCTTGGGCCGGGCTTTGACCAGAAAGGGTGGGGGAGACTGGAGGGCCTTTTTCTTTCAAGGTAATTAAAGTTTTACCACCAGCACAGAAGTTGCGCCCCCTCCCCCGCTGCCAGGGCTCACAAGTTTTCCTCCCGCTCCTCCCCCCCCCACCCGCCCCACCAGCTCGCGGGGCGCGCGGCGGATGCCTCGGCTCCTGCGCTTCCCGATCCCCACCCCCGCCGGCCTCTACTTCCCCCCGCCGGGCCGCCGCGGCGCGAGGACGGCCCGCCGGGCCCAGGACGCTAGTGTGCAAAACCCATTATCCCGGAACGGCACACGCACGCGGCGCGAGGCGGGCGGCGGCCCCGCCTCGGACCCCTCTTTGCCTCCCCAGTATAAGCACGGCGTAAACAAGTTGCAGGAAAAGCAGCCCCGCGCCTCCACCCCCCCACCCCCGCCCGCCTCCCCGGCGCGGCGGCCGCCGCCGCCCGCCGCTACCGCCGCCGCCGCCTCCAGACACACGCCCGCGCCCGCACCCGGGCCGGCGCGGCACGGCGCGGGGCGAATGCAGCGACGGCGCGGGCTCCCGGCCCGGCCCGCGAGCCCGCGCCCTGCGCCCTCCCCCGTGCGGACGGCCGCCGCGGGCCCGCGCCGCCTCGCTTCCCGAAGCACTTTCCTGCCTCGGGCAGAAATAAACCGGAGGGTTTATTTTTGTGCAACTTTCCCAAAATGGCGGAAATTGGAGCTGATCTATATGAAATTCTCACACAGTCGGTCGGGAAGGGGGAGGCGGCGAGGAAGAAAACGCAAACTCTCGGCCGCCGAGCCCGCCGCGGGTCCGTGAGTGTGTGCGTGCGTGTGAGTGTGCGTGTGCGCGGTGGGAGTCGGGGAGGCCTTTCCGCCGCGCGCGCACACACACACACACACACACACACACACACAGAGCACACGCCGGGGAGACGCGCCTGCACATTCAACCAGTCCATTCTCCGCAGCCCGAGCGGGTAGAAAGTGGCCCGGCCTCTTTTCCCACTGCCTCGGTCTCCCGTACTTGTACTTCTCGCGCTCGCTCGCTCGCTCGCCGGTGCGCGCCCGGCACAAAGGCCACACGGGCGGAGGGGGCCGCAGGGGCGGCGCGCGGAGCTCGCGCCTCTCGCCGCACCGATCCGCGGCCCCGGCCGCCCCCGCCGGCGCCCCCAGCCTCGGCCGCCGCGCTCGCCGCCCGGGCTGCGGCTCCGCGGCGCCCACTCGGGCACGCACCCCGGCGGAGCCCGGCGCCGCCGCGCTCCCCACCCCGCGCCCGGTGTCATGAAAGCGACCAAAGTGACAAGCTCGGGGGGCGCGGGGGAGGGGGCACACACGCATCTGGCCGCCTGCGCGCGGGCGAGAGCCCGACGCGGCCGCCTCGCCCCGGCTCCTTTCCGCACGGCCCCCCACACCCTTCCCCGTGTGCGCGCAAAGAAAAAAATACAAGTCTCTCCTCCCCCCATTTTTTCCTTTCTCTTTTCTCTCTCTTTTGTTCCTCTTTCACACTCGCACTCACTACTTCAGAGTGAGATGCCCAGAGGCTCCCCCTCCAGCCGTTTCCGAGTCACTTGCCCACTTTTTTCCCCAGGATTAAGTTTTCTTCTCTTTCCCAGAGGCGCAGAGAAGTGGGGGAGAAACCCCTTCTGTCCTTTCCCCTCCCCTGATCTGTTTCACAAGACGAGGGTGCGCTTCCTTCTCTCTATAGGTCTCTTAACTTTCATCCTCACCCAGAAAAATAAATGAATGGCTTTTGCACGGACAAATCTTCAGATTAATAAGAGATTAGATCCGATCAACCGCTTCTTACCCCCAAATTTTCTCTTTTTTTTTTCTCCGTCTCACGAGTAGTCCTGACAAATGGTCCAGGGCTGCGGGCGCACTGCGCATGTGCGCGTAGAGTCAGGGCTGGGGAGAGGGGAAACTGCGCTGGTGCCGGTGCCGCCGCCGCCGCCACCGCCACCGCCGCCGCCGCCACTGCCGGGGAAGCTCGCTCTGGCTTCCCTGTTAATGCTGCTGCGCCTTCGCCGCTGGAAAGCAGCATTAAAGCGGGTTGGCAAATGCAGCAGCCCGCAGACACTGTTTCAGGTGCATCTTTTCAATACCCTTGTCACCGGCTCAGGGCTGGTTCAAGAACAATCAAAACAAATATGAAAGACTGCTAAGGTTATAAATTTCTTTGTGTATTTTTCACTTTACTTTTTTAAAAAGGCATTTCTCAGAGCAGCTAATCCACCATATACTGTTAAACGTATGCTTTCAGCCATTAAAGAGTGGGATTAGTCTTATAGGAACACAACCCAAAGGCTAAATGCATGCTACAGGTCATGAAAAATAAGAAAGTTTGAAGTTTTTATGCCCTAGAACCTCCCCCGCTTTTAGGACTGGGAGAATACATTATAAAGTGTGCATGTGAGGTGTGCACGTGCTTTGCGTTTCTTAAGTGCTGGTCTTTATTGACAGCTTAAACGTGTTAGGCCTCTGTTGTGAAATATGTTGGGACACGTATGTCAACTTAGAAATCAGTGTTCAAGTCCTCTGTCCTCTGGCAATAAGCAGGTCGAGGATGACCCTCTGAATGTATTCAGTCAAGATTGCTGAGCGATCCTAAATAGCAAAACCTGTCTTTGCTAAGGCATCAAAACTAGATCAAGCGAGGGTATTGTATTTCGGTATTGACGGCTTTCCACTTATTGACTACAGGCCTCCTTTTGGGCCGCTCACCATTCTCCTTTTCTACTAGATACAAGTACTTAGAAAATAATTAAAGAAATTGAAATTGTGATAAACACCTCTATGTCAATAACGGAGCTTGCTTCGCGAGAAAAAAAGTAGCACTTCAGGAGTGGTGGAAGCAGGTCTTACATTTTGCTGGGGTAGGGAGATAAAGTAATGCCCCCATCTCAGAATGGACTATTTAGTTTGCATCTAATAAAGGGTAAAGGAGGCCCTTTTCCAAAATTGCTGCCTGAGGCCTAGAATTTAAATATATCACAGATGGAAATTCTGTATTAAAAATCCTTCTCCAAAATGTAAGTAATAATATTCTTGATTGAATTTTTTCACTTAAAGAATGTTCCTTGAACCAGTTTCAGAAAATAAACTGTTAAATTCTTTCCTTAGGACCATGAAATTACCCTAGAGAAGCAGACTACCCGACAATGTCTTCTGTTGGTATAGTGACCAAATTCTCCAAACAAAACCCAGGATATATGGCTTGACATGTACTCAAAACAAAGGAACAAACTCTGTGAAGCTGAAATGAGTACATAAAATATGCTTCATATTTTGGAAAACAATTGGTTTAGGGATGTGAAGTGGGGAAGGCTGGGTTAGTGGGAACTATAGATAATATCATTGATTTCACCCACCACATCCAACCTTTTTCTGAGTTGCTCCCAAACAGCCTAATTAACTGATCTGAATTTCAGCTTCTCTCCTTTTCTCCCTAGCCCTTGAATAAGCAGTGAAATGGCCAAAGGGAGAGAGACTACAGGAGGAGAAAGGAAGCAAAGCCAGGGGCTATGTGCAAAACTAAGACCTTACCCCAAAAGAAACTAAAATTAATTTTAGATTCCTCTTTCTAAAAATCCATTTTAGATTTGTTCTCTCTAGATAATTTCTGGATGATGTTTCTACTTCACATATATTTTCAGAGATTTACACAGTCCATAAACTTATATTAAAGGCCTACCTTGTGCTAATCATGCTACAAGGTGTTGGGGATAAACAGATGATCAAAACTAGGCAACAAGGAATTCAGTCTGACAAAGGGGACAGTCTAGTGCACTGGGCATTGCTGTACAGCATGGAAGATGTTGTACTAGGGGTATACAGAACAATTATAACTGAGGAGCACCTATGGCAATAGGAAAGGCTTTCCAGAAAAGGTGATAACTAACCTGATTTGTGAAGGACAAACGTCCAGGGTATGTGGTTCTACTTTTTTCTCTGGGAAGATGATCCAATCAGAGGAAGCTTGAGTAAAGGTCCAAGGGTTTGGAGAGCAAGGCTTGCCTGAGACCTATGCACATGTCGAGATTCACTAACAAAAATAAGGTCTAGTTGAGGCTCTCTACAATATGTGTCTTTCTCCCCCAGAGATCATCAGTAAAATCTCAAAGATTTAATCTAAATTGTTCCCAAGATGTGGTTCCGGATGGGAAATATTTTGAAGGTACTCGTATGTAAGGGTAATGCTACCAGATTTTTCTACAAAGAATTCATCGGTGTTACCACCTGAAACAGAGGCAGAATAAGATATTAGAATCTAAATAACACTGCATTATTCTTTATATAAATTGGTAGTATTTACAGAACCTTTCTCCATCTGTTCCCTAAATGGTAATATACTAGTAGAAGCTTTTTGTTGTTCCTTCACACTTCCACCATTCAGTCACTGGTTAGTAATTCACGATGAATCCCTTCTTTCCAGCATCCCTTAATCGCATCACTCCCCACCACTCTCCCCACTTTCCATCCCACCCTGCTCTACCCTATCACACGTACATACCTAATCCATCCTCAGACCAGGTCTGTAACTTCCCTGATGTCCCAAATTAAAGTATTAGCCACTCCTTTACTTTTCTTTACATTTATTTATTTATACCCAAATTTGTGCCCTGCCCCCATGACTTCAGGCTATTCCATTTCTAAATATTCTGAAGCTTAAGCCATTTTACATGGAAAATGTTTTAAATCACTGTACTCACTTTTTGAGGCTTCTCATCACCTCCCAGATGAAGGTCATTCAAAACCTTTCTCACCATACTCCATCCTGTAACCTCTACTCTGTGTGAATTCAATTTAGAAACCTACATTCCCTTTTCCTAACACGAAGCTTGTTCTGCATTGATAGGACACACTCCTCCTTCCTGGAACAATTCAAGGACGACCTCCTCCACCAGCCAGCCCCTCATAACTTGAAAGTGACCAGGAATGAAGTCCAAGTAATCCAGTTCTGACACCACCCACTGGGAACTATTAGGCAGGTCACCTCATATTTCAGGGTTTGAATTCTCTCACTAGTTACACAAAGAAAAGAGAGTAGTAATTGATTTCTGAGATCTCTTTGAAAGCCATGTCCCTTTCCATCCTTCCACATAACAGTAACATTGCCACATTTTAGTACAAATAATATGGAACCAAGGAAAGAATTTTAAGTAAGGACTGAAAAATCCATCCATCTGCTAGGTATCAGAATGTTATCAGTTTATAGCTCATTCAGTTGGTTTAGGCCCGGTACTAATGAGATGAAGGTCATGAGTTCCATTCCCTAATGGCTAGTTAGTTTTGATCTGTTTCATAGCCACAAACTTCTTTCCTAACCCCAGTTTCCCATGTTGTAACATGTGCTATTGGTCACAATTCTTAAGGTAAAATTGAATCTTTCCATAGAAATTTTCTAAAATGAACAATACTTGAAATCATTCTTTCAATGTGTTATCTTACTTTTAAGTGTGAGTCACGTTATTTATTTTTTTAGCCTATATAATTGTGTGCTCCATGTTTTTCCAAGTATAAAAATGACATTAACATTGATTTGGCCAAGATTCTTATTATTGATATTTATTTATAAGAGCTGAGTTTGATTTTCTTGTTAGTGTTCTAGATAACACTGAAATGTAATACTGGTAATCTTTACTGTGACACATCTGTATACATTCTTAGCAGAGAGCTTGTGACAGTGAGATGTAATTGAAATGCTGAGAGTAAAAGAAAAAGGATCTGTTACTCATCAGGTAAGGAAAGGATCATAATGTAAATCTTAAATCCTCAACATCTTGAGGAAATTAATTCTGGATAGATGTGAATATTTATTATAATTTTGTTTAGATGCAAAGGTAAAGTTAGAAATATGACAGACATATTCAAAAGAGCGGAATAATATGGGACTATAAACTGACTTCTAAATTAAAAGGAAAGAGAGTTTATAATTTTCCATAACACACTTACTCACTTAAAGCCTAAATTTAAAAGCCTTATAACTGAACAGTATTAGAGGAACAAGCCAGACTTCAGAACATATCTGTGACAGTAGCCTCTGATACACTTAGACCCTGGTTCTAGAATGTTCTTTCCATTTGACCTGGCCTCCTGGCCACAGCTGACTGGTCCAGAAGTGGGCATTTAATCCAAGGACTGAATCAAGTAGGGGTGGCCTATGAGTCAGCAGGGAGTGCTTCCCCATGTGAGTAAAAGTGATGAAATGGAACAGTCTATTCTCACACTTGAACCGGAAATATTGAAGATGAAATTAGTTGATAGGCATTACAAAAACTAAACTAAATGATTCACAAAGAGAAAAAGGTAGAGTGCAGGTACCTTAGCTGTTAGGCATTAGGAACTATGCATAAGTAGAAATCATAAGGTAGGGCAGAGCAGAAGTTAGCCAGCCAGATAAAGATAAAGGTGCTAGAGCTGCCCTGGGCTACATGACCTCCTATCCCCAAATGTCATTCTAGTCTTGGAAAGGCCTGGCCACTTTGGGACATCATGAAAACCACCTACATAGCTAGAATTTCTGTCTTCACTAGTATCACCATGATAGCTCCCCATCCCTTATGAAAAATTGAGTCATTTTTTGAATTGAGTAGATAAACAAAAGACCCCCAGCAACAGCAGTATGTATGACTTCTTCTTTTTAATCTTACAGATTTAAAGGGGACCATGTTAGAAAGTCAGTTTAGTCAGCCCAGTACCCAATCACCTTGTGCCCATCAGTGGAACATGCAGGCCAGATGGTAAGGATCAGATCCCAACACCATCACTTGCTGCTGATGTGTGATCTTGGGCAAGTTGCTGAACCTCTCTTACCTCAGATTCCACGTCTGTAAAATGGGAATATTTACAGTACCTAGCTCATGAGGTTGTT